GCCAAGGACACCACAGGGAGATCAATGGATGCAAAAGCTGCTGCTTTGGAAGTGATGCTGCTGTTGGGAGCTGGGTGCAGCGTGAACGCGCCAGTGCAAGAAGCTACAGAGCAACAGCTGGATGGAAAACTGGATCTCAAGGTGGATGGCATGGCAGTACAGCAGGGGCCATGTGTTGCACTCAGTTATGGCACTTTGGAGGCAATTTTCTCTTATAATCATTGCATCCTGAAGCTGAAGCACCCTGGGAAGGTTGGGCATGGGATATAAAGCAGGACACAAGGGCTGGCATTCGTGGCACATCACAAAAACAAGGTACCATGTATGAGCAACATGGGTGATGTCAGACAGAAAGGATTATCTACAGTTAATGTGAATCAGAAAGCAAATCTGGTTATTCACAGGCTGTATTGCAAAAAAAATAGAGCTATAGGAGCAGTTCTAGAGAATTTCAAGGTGCAGTGGGAAAACAAGCTCAGTTGAAGCCTTTTCCTCACATCAGTTTCCCATGAATAACACTTAATTGGAAACTTTTTCCATTTCCCAAACAGCAGAGGAATGGGCGTACAGGCTTTATTGCCCAACTCACTGGCTACTGAAGTCACAAGAAAATCTGGGGGTTTAACCTGGCGGCTTAATTATTTAGTACAACTGTTTGTCTGCCTGACCCTTTACCCTCATCTAAAAGGATCTTTGAACCTTTTAGCCACTTTCACACAATTTGAGAAATGGGGAGAAATGTCAAACTTTTGTGAGGTTTGGTGGCTTTCACAATGGCACCCCGGAACAGCCTCGAAGTGTTGTGCATGAAGCTGCATCTTGAGAGCAATCTGAGCACTGCAGGGACCTGTCAGAAGCAAGTACAGGGATTTTATTTTGCAACAGGGGGGTCTTGAAGTTTAAGTTGATAAAGTCCTTAGCAGATTTGCAGGGGAAAGAAAAGTTGCAGCACCATCAAGCCTTTGGAATAAGGTCACCTCCACAGTTCAGTGCTACAGGATGCTGCTTTTGGAGGAAAAGGAAAAAGACCACACCCTTTTCACTTAAAGACATTCTTTATTCAATCTTTTTTATATACAATATTATTTTTTAATCTGTAAAAAGTACATATGCAGGATTCCAGGTCAGAGGCAGAAGGTTTCCACATCAGAAGATAGACTTTTGCCCTTTTATTATTTTGGAGGAAAAAAATAATCTGTCAGTTTTAGACAAAGCAAGAATAAAGGCAGAATGCAAATCCAACTTCCACCAAGCGATTAGGCTTAAAGGCAACAATTCACTGTAACAGGTTAGGCTGTCTCCTCTGACTTTGGGGGCTCCCAACTTTCCTGGGCAGTTACAGAGCAGTTTGTTAGAAGGTGCTGACAGCTGAAGCAGCTTGTGTTTATCATCTCTGCTACAGCTGTACACACACAACTTGCAGAAGAGCCTGGGCTTCCTCTTTGTATGGCAACTCAAACTCTTGAGTCAGAAGACTGTTTTCTCAAAATTCAAGGAGTGAAAAAGGAATGTCTTACTCAGGATGAACTGATCTCCCAACTACAGTACAGATCAAGAGCTTGCTTTTATTTTTCTCTGGTATCAAGAAGCCTGTTTCTTATTTGTCCTCTTACAAACACAGGCTAAGCTTAGTGTAAATACCACCAGGGCTTTGCTTAGGGGGTGCACCTCTAACCGTAAAAGATGGCATTACACAGAGTGTGTAATTACTGTCACCTTTCAGAACCCAGGCAATATTCAAATCTTGTAAAATACTGTGGGAGAATATGTCAGTGTTTGGGAGCTAGAACATAGTGATCCACAATTTTGGAGCAGGGAGCTGAAGGAACAGCAAAGGTGTGACTGGCACATGGAACTACTTGCTCTTCCTTCTACTCCAGGGCACTTGCTATTCTCTATAATTTCCTTAAACATTCAGTTTGGAGGAGTATATTGTGCAGCAAAATCAACACTCAGAGTATCATTCAAGGGTTTTATTTTTATTTAGAGGACAACACTAGGAAGTTGACTTCTTGACTGCAGGACATGCACAGCTCCAGGGTTGTTAATGGAAGCTGCAGAAATCTGGCCTCTTTGAAAAGTCAAGCTCTAATTGTTAGAAAAAAAATTTACTGCTGGCAGTTCCTGACCAACAGGCAAGTTTGAGGCTTGGATTAGGAAAAGAACCACACATCCTTATTTTGACTGCATGCAAACAGGAAATAGACAGGGGTTTCCAGGCTCTTGCCCAAATCCAGTGTGCCAAAAATGCACATGATTTTCTGGGTTTTATTTAATTCTGTAAGGGGAGAGGGTATTGTAGGAGTTGTAAAATGGGACAGCTACCTAGAGAAAATGAGGATTGTTTTGTTAGAGAGTACAGTGCAAGACTCAGAAACAGCTAGGACTAAAAAGTCATTTTTGTGCTTAAATTTACACTCTTTATCTTCAAGAAAGTAAGACAGCAGCAACAGAATGAAAATGGCAACATTCTACTGTACCTTATGTACCCAGAGGGAAAACAGTCTGAACTACAGATTGCACATAATGCCATTCTGCAGATCAGAACCTACTTTTCTGTGAAGGACTCAGAACAAGGGCACATCACTTCAGTCAGAAGTTTCAGTATCTGTGGCGCTTGGTAACTAAGCATGTACCTCAGCCAGAACCCATAAACTCCAAACTCTGCTTGATCTGGGAAATCTCAGGATGAATTTTATGAAAGACACAGCAATTAATCCTTAAAATGAATTATTTTTGATAGACTCTGCACATCATTAGCTTCTGGAGGAAAAGGCCAGTTGGTATTTTAGAGTGATGGAGAATAAACTGACTATTATTGGGGTAACTGGAAAACAAGAAACAAGTGTCCTTTATTTGGTACTTGCTGCTTATGTACACAAAGAAGAAATAGCAGTACTGTACATCTGCTTTGAGAAGAACACCATCCCATAATATGAAATGGCTTAATCTTCAATTCAGGCATTCTTGTGGCAGTAAGTTAACCCACTAGGATTCATGGATAGGTTAAATTTGAATGGCTCCTCTTTAATTCATAAGAGGGAGATGGAGGAGGACAAGCAAGTTTGCTGTTTCTGGGACTCCTTGACCTTTCTCTGAACAGACTGGCAGCCATTCTACACCTGCATTTATCAGGAGGAGTACAGGGATGGGTCTATGAGGCAGAATTTACTTTTATTATTTTTTCTTCTTTCTTTCTTTTTTTTTTTAACAGGAGGGTTTGCTTTTCCTCTTTCTTCTATATACCCAGAGCCATGTAAGAGAACAAAGCAACTGAGTACAGTTTTAAACTAATAACAGTTCTCAGAAAAACAATTTGAAAACACAGCATATCTGAACTTGGGAAAATGAAAAATTACTAGTTCTTCAGTAAGCCAGTGAATAATAATTAGAAAAATAAATTATTGTGGGACCAGTAAGAAGAATCCATTTATTAAGCTACTTCTAATTTTAAATAAACAATTACTGAAATCAGTTTTATTTACTATATTAATTACTTTTTAAGTTCTCAAATTATCTTTAGGATACTGCTGCAAATTACAGTAACAAAGTAACTGGTATTAAGGTACAAACATTGAGACTGAAACTTTTCCCAAGCCCCATGTTCTCTTCCGCTTAAACTAAAGTAACTGTCTGGAAAAAAACATCTGACAACATTTTTACTTAGATCATATGATGATTTCTATGTCTAAGTTAGTGACACAGACAAATGAAGAGTAATTCTGGGGGGAAACTCTACAGTCAGATGTGTTATAATATGATAAGGAGTAAAATTCTTTTATATAAAACTTAATATAAAAATATTTTTGAGGAGGGAAAATAGCACTCACTCCCTTTAAATCTGATGCTGTACTACTGTAGCTCACTGAAGAGGTCTCCCACTTGCTTCCGTACAAAATCATCATCGAGATTTTTTAAAGACTCAACCTGTGCACTAATTAGGAGGGAAACCTCCAACTAAAGGCTGTTTGTCAGCAAAGGGGCCAGTCACCATGGCAAAAAAATTTGAGAGCTATATAGGGGAGTAAAAAGAATAATTTGAGCTGTAAGGGGTTCTGAATAACAGTAAAAAGAGATCGAGAAAGACAAAACTGAAAAGATAAAAAACCTAGAAAGATGAAACTTTTTTTAGCAAATAGACTGAAAAAGACTCAATTTAAGTGATACTATCCAGCCCAGCCATAAAGTACTTGAAAATACTCCATGCATTTAGCAGCATCATAAATTAATGAAAGAAGAGACTCTTCAGTTTCTTTTTCCAGTCACATATAAGAGATGTTACGCTGCTTCCAAAGATCATGTTGGATTTGTACTGGAGTACCCAGAAGAAAAGCAAGTTTTGTAAAGTAAATCAAGGGCAATTTTAGGCTTCTGTCAGACACACATATACCTACAGAGAAGGTTCTGTGAATAGTATCCAAAGAATGAAATATAACAGATTGTGTACAAAAATACAGAGCAGCAAACTCTCATTGCTTAGCTCAAGGGGAGTTTCTTTTAGTTCCATATACTGTATCCTCCTATATAAATCATTAAACACTTATGCTCATGTTGTCCTCTCTGTTTATTTAGCTAAAAGAACCAGGACTAAGAAGAGAATAGCATTTTTCATGTGACATAATTTGTGAGGAAGGGAAACTTAGGCTCCTTCCTACTCCTGTGATACTCTCCAGACTCTGACTGAGCTTGCCAAATGAACTAAGCCCACTCTGCTGACAGTGAACTACAAACCAAATGCTTACTAATTGTTTTTTCTTTTTGGATATAAGCATTATTTTGAAAGGGAAAATGAGGAGGCAATACTTTTTGTACTTTAGAGTTTAGGTCTAACAGATTAGAGGCTCTGAAAATGGCTGCCAGTCTGGACAGATGCTCCTTAGAAAACTGAGACAGGTACAGAAAGAAATTCAAATCCTGATGCTGCTGGTGCAGTGGTGTTGCTTTGTTCATGCCATCATAAAAAAAAAAAAAAAAAAAAAAAAAAAAAAAAAAANAAAAAAAAAAAAAAAAAAAAAAAAAAAAAAAAAAAAAAAGAAAAAAGAAAGGAAAAGAAAGGAAAAGAAAACCTAGGTATTTGGAACCCACCCATCTGAAGAGGTGACTGTGTGTTGTTCCTTGCAACAGCAAGCAGCAAGTTCCTTTCCCTGGATGGAAAAGCCTCCTCTTTCTCGTGCTGCTGCATTAATATTATCTGTAGATTCCATGTCTTGCCAGGATTCAAAGCGCGTGAAGACTCCGTCCTGCAAAAATCACACTCACGTGTTTTGGTCATGTATAAAACAGAACTTTTAACTTATTTATATGTTGAAGAGCTTCGTTTCCCATGCCAATACTTGCTTGACTCGGGGTCTAGGTTTACCAAGTGTCTGTCTGTCTGTCTCCCCTCCTGCTAAAGTCTCAAGTGGTCCATGTAAACAAAACAGAGCTGAAAACAGTCTCTCTTCCTCTTCATAGAGCTGTTTTTATCGATATGCAGGATTTCCTGACAGTGTGGTGTTGGCTAAATGTAAAACAGGCAGAGGATGAGCTTCTGTGTTAAAAACCCAGTTGTCTAATGGTAGAAGATCATCATTGGAGAAAAGCAGATACAAATACCTGGATACCAAGACAGAGATGGAAAAACATGGGTATTAAAGCAGAGCATAGGCAGGCAGGGGCAACATACCATCTTCAGGCCTCCACAGTTCAGCAGCTACAGCTATAAACAAATTACTTGCTTTCAATCTTTTTACAGCACACACACAACCTTCCCTATTATGATGATCTGAAGTAATTTTTATCATGGTCAAGTCCTTCAATGAAAAGTTGTTATAAATACAGCATTTTAATCTTTCCAAGAAACTTTTGTTTTTTGAGTCTCCCTTCAAAGACCTGGAGCGTAAAACAAACATCAAGACACCAACCACAAGTATCTGGGGGACAGGAGAGCAGAGAAGAAATCGTCAAACAGCTTTTCTTAATGGAGTAAACCCACTTGGAAATGACTAATCCTCTTTAATCCAAACCAAAGACTTCATGGCAGCACAAGAGAAGCTATTAAACCATGGCAGTATCTGATTTGTCATCAGCATTCTGGAAGCTGGTTCAGCTTCTGGTGAGAGGAAATGGGACAATAGATTGTGCAGAGGGTTTTCACAGATTTTGTATATTATAATAACATGCAGAGGACATGAAGCATGCAACAAAATAAGGATTACTGGGCATATGCAGAAAACAAGTATTTGTTGTTCCTTTTGTCTCAATGCACACTTTTGAATGTGACTGTGCTATAACTCTGTAGGACATACTGGTAGTAGGGATCTGTCAAAGTTTCCTAACACAGCAGCTAAAACTCAAAAGACATTTCCCTTGTTACAGAAAACCTGGCTGTGAGTGCAAGCACAACAGCATAGGCATACAGGATCTCTCACCTCCTGCTTGCTTTCCTGCCATCCAGAAAAAGACAGCTCTTGCTGCACTTGACAAGGAAAGGGTGTCATTCCCATTAGTGGACTCTGGCACATCTAGAATGTGCACATGTGTTCTGCTGTTCCTTCACTTTCTATCAGACACTGGGAGTGTCTGCTGCTTTCAGCCCTGTGTCACTGCCTGATCAATTCTTCTGCTGCCTTTATTTGCCAGCTCTATCTGCAATCCAGTCAATGGAGCCCTACTTTTTCTTTCTTTCCTCATCTATTTACTGTTTACAGATAAAAATTTCTTGCAGAGATGATTCAGTTTTGTCACACATATCTTGTCTCCTTCTTCACACTCTTCATTAGTCTTTAAAGTATCAGGCCTTTCCCTTCCTCAATACTTCTGTCTCGCTCTCTCCTGCTGCAGCTCTCCAAGCTCTTTCTCACCACAGCAGCAATATTTCATTTTACTCAAACTCACCTTCCTCATTTGAGTCAGAATTTTCCTTTGAATAACTTAAGCAACCTGTTTCTCCATCTTGATCCTTCCCACTCAACAGGTACCTTCATTCCAAGTACTGCTCAAAACTTGCAAATTTGCTGTGTATCTCTGATAAATTGAAGTATCCAAGCAGCAATAAAGCATATTTGGGACAGTTACCAAATGTGAATTTGAGAGGAATGAATATGCAGAAGTAATCATCAATAGAAAAAAAAAAAACTACAGCAGGTATTATTCAAGACATATTTTATGCCCCTCTTCTGAGGAACATCTTCCTTTTCCTCAAGACATCACACCAAACTTTTCCATCTTTATTTTCATTTGGGCTATCTCATTGTGAAACCAGTTTCTGTTTTGGGCAATGCCCATTGCATCAATGTCAAAAACATCTAATATCCAGCTCTTCAATATTTTGTTTCACAAGCAGGAAATGCTCCAAACCAAAAGTCAGTAAAAAATGCTGAGTTCTTTCCTAGAACTGCCACCATCTGCAATGTTGGCACTATAGTATATCCAGTTACTCATTGATGCATCAGTGAATTTTCAGATCTCCTTGTGATTATTTAAGATGCAGACAGGATTCTGGTGATACATCAAAAGTCAGCCATGCCATCACAGAAATGCCTTAGGAGCAGATTTCATTCTCTTATTTGGCTTTTAAAGGCAGATCAATCATACACCATCAGCTCTTGGAGTCGTACTGTTTCTCTGACCTGACCTGCTTGAAACTGCTGCCTCTCTCTTTGGGACCACTGCTTTTAGTCTCCAGAAAATGAACTTGAAGGAGTAAGCGAAATAAAATTAAAGAAGACAACAGAGGAGGTAGCAGTGGCTGACATTCTTTTTATAATGGTAACATGAGGCAACAAAATATTGTAATTACCTAGAGGAATTTGGTAAGGAGCCAGCAGAAGGACAGAATAGCCACACTATCTCCCTAGACATGATGAACTTGGAATCCCTTTTTCCCAGTGAAACATGCTGTGATGCCTGAATTAGACACAAAACCTGCCATTTTCAGGACATGCTTTCTATTCCATTTGGTGCCCTTAATACTCAAAATCAGTCTTTGCCTCATTTATCTACCTGTGAAACATCTAGAATTTAGATTTGAGTTTTTACAGAAAGATGCAGGAGTGAAAATTACTTACTTCAAAGTTTCAGCAAGGAAAAAGCTCTGCTGTACATCATCATATGTAGGAGATGAGGAATACACATCCTTGACACCAGAAAAGCCACCACTAACTCGGCAATACTTGTCAATTGCCTGCAAAAATGAAGGGAAAAGACACAGAGAATTTAACTGTAAAACAAAATTTGGAAATTTTAAAATATCAGGCTTGATCAACAAAGAAGGTGGTTCTTTTTGTGCTGCATTTTTCTGCTGTGAATCTCTTTGTTGAAGGATGCTATGGACATTAACAGTTTATGCTGAAAAAAAGAAAAGGAGACTGGACACATACAGAAGTCGCATCCTTCCAGGGTTATTAATGACACCACATTTGACAAACTGCTACATGCTAAGAAAGTATTCTGGGGAAGAACACTTTCTTTCCTGGGTATTTACGGTTGGCTGATACTGATGACATAACAAGGACTCCATAGACTTTTTCTCTGAGCTCATGCATTTCCTCATCGGTGACATTGGCTAGAACATCAGTCAAGTCAATGGATTAAGTGCTGTGATGTGCACAGGAAGGTAACAAATATCCCTGGATTTTGGAGCTGGAAGAGTCTGAAGAGTTATAGGAATTCTTTGATTGGTAGCTAGTCATGGAGACTTATTGAAAGTAGAAATATAATACTGTACTCATCTTTATGGACTGTTGATTCCATCCTGTAAACTCTGCTAGCTGCTGCTTTCTCCTCTCATCTCCTTCTCCTACCTATGCTATTCTCAGTTTCCTGTTCATACAGCTGAAATTCAAGTCAGCTTGCATGCTGGACTGCAGCAGAGGTCTTTACCTTTAAAGCATGGAGCTTAAATCCATGCACAATCCATGAAGGAAGGGGCCAATGGATTCTCCCTCCTCCCCAGCTCCAATACAGTACTGTGAAAAGCACAATGGAAGAGGAGGAGAATGGAAAGTGTTAGTAGCTCAGAGCACCTCTCGCCTACACTTTCATTATTCCACTCGCATTCATGACCTTACAGCACACAAGGATATCAGCCATTAAAACTGGCTCTGAAGAAATGACTCTGAAATGATTCACAGGTTATTTGTGCTTCCCTGCTGCTTTGACTGTGCTTCCTCAGCAGATACCAACTCTTTTAATAGATTCATGCAGGGACAGAAAAGAAGCAGGGATGAAGGAAAATGTTTGTCTCAGGATGTCTGTCATTACCAACAACTAAACACAGCCACCTGTAGCTCAGTAATCTATGATTCAGCCCAACAGCCTTGTGTGAAGCTCCTCTCTACATGGTGCTTTAGGCCCACATTTCTGTTAATTCTGATTTTTGCTAGTTATACTCTGCAGAAGCTGAGGGGAGTCAAGGCAGGAGAGCAAATAAGTTTTGAATGATGCCCTTTCTATGCAGAGAAAACAGATTCAGTCAAAACTAACTCTTCAAGGACCTCAGTATCGCCTTTGCATACTAGAAATACTGGGAGATAAAGAGGAATTTTCCACTGGACAAATGGACAAAGAAGTCAGCAGATGCTGTTATTGAAATCAGGAGAAAAGTGAAAAGTTGAGCAGGATACCCAGGACAGTAAGTCATAGCACAGCAGGTATTCCATTGACATCCTCCTAGAATACACTCTTACCCTGTAGAAATCTGAGACTGTTCATGGAACAAAGAATAATCCAGACTGTACAAAGTTCTTCCAAATTTCTGAAAAGGAAGGTTTTTAGAAAAGCAAGTGAAGAGACTGGCAAAAGTATGTTATTGGAATGGCTGTGGCTCTAGAGTCTGGATTTACGCCAAGAAAGGTACAGTCTTTCTTGGCAAAATCTAATGCTTGCTGTAATTCCTTATCTCAAGCACAGCCTTCTCCAAGTTTAGATGGAAACGCTCCATTTTTTTGCTGGGACTTGAGTCTAAAAGGAGAAAGTGTCTGGATGAATTATTTTCAGATTTTGTTACTGGTGCAGGCCAGGGCTATACTGAGGCTACTCACGTGCTGAGATCTGGGTTGACCAGATTTTCTCTGCAGTGAGGAGAAAGGTATGTGACACATCTAACCCAACAGCACCAAATGCATGACAATCTCTGCATGCTCTTGCACAACAAAGTGATGCTAGCTACCACATGACAGCCAAACAACATCAACAACACAAAGAACCCCAACACCACTCTCTTCACACAAAATCAAACCACACCAATCAACCAAACCAACAAAAATGAAAGAAAAAAATTAATTGCTTAGCTTCTGAAGAAATAATGCATATACTGTTTACAGAACCATTTGCATATTCCTCCCCAGAACTCCTACAGCCACCAGGCAGGTGTTATATGAATAAACAAGAGCCAAAGCACTTTTGCTTTATAGGCAGAAAATTGAAGTGCCTGCTCTTGGCATATCCCTTTTTATAATAATGCAGAACATGACCTTCTGTCTGCTCTGAAGCATGGCAAGATGGAGGAGGAAGCCCCAGTGTTTCCAGCTCCTGCCAGAATTCCCAGTATACACTCTGATCAGACATAGATTCTCTGGTCAACCAGTTAGCAACCCTGATGCTATGTGCCACAGCCTGTACAGGAAAACCTGCTAGTGACTGTAGCAAAATGAAAACAAGGAATACATGGTACCACTGTTAGGACACCATCTCCTTCCTCCAGAAGAATTAAATCCTCAAGCCAGTGTAAGAGACAAAACTTATTTGGAAACTGCAGCTAATGGATAGTACTGAGATTCTGCTCTCTGCTGTAGAGGTCTCATATTTGGGTAACTAAGTGCAACACTGGTGAAGTCAGCAAGTCTACAAGCCTGAAGAAAGAAAATGTATGCTCTGTATCCACTTTTTTTTTCCTTATGGTTACTAAGTAACCTTGCATCTTCAGAAATTTCTCCTTGGGAAGACAAACGCTGTTCAGAATAGGCAAAGATCTACCTTAGCTGATCGGAGTTCTACATAATGCATGTAGTAACGAACTGTACAGGAAAAAAAACATATGAAAGATTGCTTTACAGCTATTCATCCAAATAGAAAATTTTTAAACATGAACAAATAATTTGTCCATGATTCCGAGCTGTACAGAATTTTGGGAAACTGGCCGAAAAGTTTGGTGCTACAGACAAGCTGCTTAAATTTGCCACTTGAAACTCTCTGTATTCTGTCTTCACAGAGACCTCAGAGCACTTGGTGTAGTGGCATCTAATTTTCCACCCAGATACACTTTCACTCCAGAGCTGAAGACCAGTCTCCCTGATAAAACAATGCTTAATTTATTGCACCACAGAATACAGGGAAGCTCCAAGCAAACTGGAAGGGTATTGCTACCATTATGAGGCATTGGCAGACTAAATAATTTTAGGATGGCATATCTGATGTTGTTCCAGTCAATTACAGAGACACGTGGATATACATATATATATAATATATATATATAGAGAGAGAGAGATAAATTAGAGGATAACTGACACCATTCAGCAGGGTTTTATAGAAAACTATTTTGGTCACAAGCTTGATTTCATTCTTTGAGAGCTACAAATTTGATAAATAAAGGTAACCGCAGAGCTGTAATAAACTTAAAAGCTTCTAAGGCAATTGACATGGTATTTAAGATGTTATGGGAAGACAAGGCAGCACTATACCATATCAATATAATTCAATTTAAAATTGACTGACAGTGCTCTAAGAAAGAACTGGCAATGCAAAATCATCACAAAATAGAGCTGCTTCTCACAAAGATCCACAAGGAGCAGTCTGAAGTTTTATCAATCACTGCAACACTTCTTCTGGCTAAAATGACACGTAAATAACAGCAGACAGCGTAATCTGCTGGTAACTGGGTGCCAAACAAAATGAGTTTCATAAAACCAGGCACATAATCCTAAATCTAGTCATCAAGATTGTGTAACTGCAGAGACCCAGGCTAGTCTGGAAGGTAGAGACAACCTTTGGAATGCAGAGACACTTCAAAGCCTTCCATGGCCATGTAAGACAGTTCAGTCTGAGTTCCTGCTAGGACATTGCTTATTATAATCTATGAAAATTATTTGGAAAGAAAATAAAGGACATTTTAAAATGGCATAGGAAGTCATAGGAAAACCCAGTGATTGAGAGCTGAAACTAGGCAAATTCAAATAGGAAATAAAATATGGGGGGGTCTTAAACAGCAAAAATAAATAAATAATGGAACAAACTACCAGAAGTAGTGGATTTTCTATTTTCCTTTATTCAAATACATAATGGAACAGGAGAATATTCAACAGTATACTTCTGCCAAATACATGTGTCTCAACTCAAAAGTGACACAAAGTGAAATTTCAGGGCCTGTAACATACAGGGAGGTCAACATGAACCTAAGTTCTTTGGAAATAAAATTTGATGTGCTTCTAGATTGGACCCCAGCTCCCTCAGTTTCTCTGAGGGTGTTTTTTTGTGGCATATGTGACTTTTCTCAACTGTGCCAACAACATGCCCATAAAAGCTGTGCCAGTTTCTTTACCAGCTGTCGTACTCACAGCTTCTAACCCATGAAACTGTGAAACCATATTTCTTTTACCTCCAACTTATGTCTGGCTCTTTTCTGTCTACTCTTCTTCTCTAAGCAGAATCACAGAACGGCTTGGGTTGGAAAGGATCTCAAAGATCACCTAGTTCCAACCTCACTGCCATGGGTAGGGATGCCACTAGAACAGGATGCTCAGGGCTCCATCTAACCTGACCTTGAACACTTACATCCACAGCTTCTCTGGGCAATCTGTTCCAGTGCCTCATCACACTCTCAGTAAAGAATTTCTTTCTATCTTCTAATATAAATCTGTCCTCTTTCAGTTTAAAATAATTGCCTTTTGTCCTGTCACTATCTGCCCACATAAAAACACCATCTCACTTCTTTTAATAAGCCCACTTTAGTTACTAGAAGGCTGCAATGAGGTCTCCCTGGAGCCTTCCCTTCCCCAGGCTGAACAACCTCAGCTCTCTCAGCCTGTCTTTGTAGGAGAAGTGCTCCCAGCCTTGGATCATATTTGTGTCCCTTCCTGGAATCTGTTCTAACAGGTCTCTGTCTTTCTTGTGCTGAGGACCCCAGATCTGGGCGCAACTGAGGTCTCATGACAGCAGAGAGATACAGGTCTTTCCTCTCTGTCTATCAGTCCTCAATTTGCCTGAAGTTAGCCCAAGCTTCAGGTCTTGGCTATTTATTTTCACTGTTAGTAGAATCTCTGATGAACTCACTGCCTCTGTGGTGGAGTCCTACTTAGTGAGATACACAAGTCCACAACTCTTAATTGAACCCTTCATTCACACAGCTCAGATTAGTAATTGGCTTTACATGCCTATTATGAAGTGGTGACTCTTACTGCTTTCAAATAATTAGCCTGAAAAGGATTTTAGTAATTTTCTGTATTTTCCCTGAATATCCTGCATGCTTATTTCTGTAATACTCCAGCCAGCCCCCCAGCACACCATCATCCAATTTGACTGGCCCAATACAATTGAGATGAATGCTGTCTCTAGTGCTAAGTACAGTATTAGGGAGAATTAGCCTTTTTTTTAATCAGGAAAGAGATAGAGACCCTGTCACAGGGATTTATGATCACTGAGGGAATGTAAGATTGAACTTCCTGGCTCTTCCCCCAGAGACACTGGATTTGGAGAGATGCAACAAAACAGACCTTGAACAAAGCATAAGATTTGCACTAAAGTGCATAAGTTTTATAAAAAAATATAGATAATAAATCCAAGTATGCTTCAGAGGTTGGAAGGCAAAAGGAAGACAAATTCAGACAGTGTTGTACAACAGCAGTAAGCCAACTGCTCTGCGTGTCACACCAGACTCTTCTCTATTTATAAATGATGGAATAAACACAGCCAGAGCTGTGTGTGATAGGGAAGAAGAAAAAGTAGTGAGTAGGTGTGAAGAATAAACACAAGAACTTATTATCTATATGCAATGAACAGACAATCCTGGGGAACAAAAAGCTTCAAGCTTCTGTGCCAGTATGATGGTGGGGTAAGAAAATTCCTAATTGTGGGAAGAAGGGGATTGCAAAACTATTTATGAAAAAGTCAAAAATATTTTATGGCTATGTTTTATAAAGAAATCTTCTATCAAGGAAAAAAAAAAGCAGAAGAAGGCAGTCTGTAGGGACAGAGGCAATTAAGCACAGGGGCTGCTTGATTTACAGCTTTAGTGGAGGCTGACAGGATAAAATAAAATCCTACCCGGCATACAGAGAAAGTTGGAGGCAGAGGAGAAGGAAGGGAGGGTTTGTTTTGAAAGCATTAATGGGAACCAAGATAATGAAAGCAAATGGAGAAAACTGAGGAAAACACAATTAAAACACATGCTTTGCAGTGTGCTTAAGAGACTGATCCTGGCCTGAAAATCTTTACACTTGTACATTTTTTAACCTATTGCAAAGGACTCCACCTCAGCTTGGATCATCCAGCCATAACTTCTGAAAGGAGCTTGTCTGATCAGCAAGAATTTTGTATCTACACAGGCAAGAAGTAGGTTATTAACTTTCTCATGTTAGAAATATGCATAGTTTAGGCAGCAGGGATGATGAGACTCAATGTTTGATGTTTTGAGACAGCAGCAATGCATTCTGGAATACAAATGCAGAACCTGTCTCCAGAATAACATAATTCTGGTTGGAATAAAACAGACTAAAAGGGAAAACCATACTAAGACACAACTGTAAAATACTTGGCCTCTTCTAGGTGTTACAGCTGTGCTGAGGGAGGGATAGTACTGAGCTTAGCTAAATATTCTGAATACAGGCATCTCAACAGATCTCTTCCCACATTTCTTGATCTCTTGCTTCAGGAGCAAAATTGGGTTTTAGCCACAGAATAAACTTACCCAGTCTCCTGGTTTGTCCCTTCCTTTGCTTTCCCCTCATCTCCTCTGGATGTAGTCAAAATATTTCATTACTGTCTTGTCATCTTTAATGTTTATTCTCATCTCTGAAACTGGCTTTGAGCTGTTTCCAAAGACTGCTGGAGCAATAGCAGGGAAGTAGAGAAACTCTCGGGAGCTGAGCACTACTGACAACAGTCAGTAGCAGTCATGACAAGGGAGTTTTATTTCCACACCTAAACTCATGGGCTGTGTAATGCTGAATGCACCTCTCACTTGAGCATCTGACTCAGCAGATGCAAAATAGCAATAACTGTGTGCACCCTCATATGTACCCTGGTTTACAGGAAACTCTGAAAATCAATTACCACTTGAAGTGTTTCATTACCATGAGACTGAAGTGGCTTCAAAGAGGAAAGATACAAAATTAAATTACCGACAGACAATTAATACAGTTACCTGTGCTGCCTCCCAGCCCCACTGCCTGTACTTGGGATCGTGGGTGAATCTCCACATGTACCAGTAGGTCTCAATCACCTCTGGCCTGAGGATGTAATACTTCTCATTCTGCCGTACTGCCACCGCCTCCACGCCACCATCAAATTTGAATGCTTCTGGGCCCAGCTTTAGTGCTGCAGAGGAAACAAACCAGAAAAAAAAAAAGTAAGAAAAAATTTCTTCCCTACTAATCTTTGCAGGAAGGATGGGTACGAGATTGCTATATGCCAAGCTTGTGAAAAAAAACCCAAAACCTTTAAGCAGTCTCATAAATATTTCCTACTGTTGAGGTCTATAATTTTTCTCATGAATAATTTATCTAATTCCTTTGAGAAAACTACCTATTTTGACAGGACTACAGTAATCCTCTTGAAAACTAATGGAACACAAAGAATATAAATACACTAACACATTCAATTGTAGGATAAAATTGAAGTGACCGACATCAGCTCTTTACAAGAAAAAGAAAAAAGAAAAAAGGGTCAACACAGGTTTCAATGTCCTTTGATCCCACCTAGCACAGTAGGAAAAGATCTAGGAACTAAACCAAGTAGTGTCATACCAAAAAACCTGTATCTTTATCCAAACTTGGTTTAAGCATGTGCTGTCAGGCCACTGTAACTGATGTGCTGTGATCTTCGAGTAAAGGGTTTACAACCGGGTAATGAAGTCTTAAATACACTTGAAAATAAATCTCTGAAGTAAGAGATTCACTGTTTAAGTCCTTAAAGGAACCTGTAAAGGTCCTGTGCCAGCACCTGGAAGATACAACCTTAAGAACATATAGAACAACACACCTGTAGAAATACTGTCAACAATGAAGTTACACAAATTTTGTATTAGACAGCTGTACATTGGTCCTCAAATTTAACATTAATAATGTATTCTTATTACTGCATCTCACCATTTGTTTTGGCAGGGAACTTTTAAGGCTCTGAACTCTGAAGTTGCACTGAGCTTTAAAAATTATCAAAGCAATTAATCATGTAATTCCTATGGGCTAGAGGTTCAAATTAACCAAGGTTTCATGGGTCTGAAAGGGGAACCTTAGAATGCTATAATGAAAATATGAGCAACTCTCAGTACATGCCCCAGCAGAAAATCTCCAGAAGTTCCTTAATCTTTTTGTTTCAAGAGACTATGGCTCTGGATGCCAAACAAAAAGCATCACTCCATCTAGAAATGTTTACTGCACTTCTTTCAAAATGGGCCACTTTATTGGTTTCACTTTAAAAATTTAATAAATCTCACTATAAAATGGGGAAGATTAGACACAGAGTTCTACCTATCCAAAATTTTGAATATAAGAATGGTCATACTGAACTAGATGGAATTCTGTCTGCTCCAGTATGACATCTCCAACATTAGCCAAAATCAGACATTGACGGGGAAGTGGAAGCACATGCCAGGTATATGAGATACCTTTTTCCATCTTTTCTACCAGCCTCTACTGTTTTTGAGCTTAAGACTTCTCCCAAACTAGACATACTTTTTTAGGTGGTCAGTAATTCTTAATAGATTTATTTCCCAAGTACTTATCTGGTGCTTCCTTAAAAGTGTAAGCTTTGAGCATCCAAAACAACCTCTCCTAAGGAGTTCTACATCTCTAATACCTGCTTGATGCAGAACCATTTTCCAATCCCTATGTGATTTTGCAAATCTGCTGATTCCTACCTAGAAGGTCCCTTTTTCACCCTGATTAATACTATCTAATTCAGCTGTGCCTTGAATGGAAACTGTTCCATGCCTCTAGTTAATCTTCTTGCCCTTCTCTGCAATTCTTCCAGTTCTACTATATTCTTTGTAAAATGAGAGAGAACCAGCAAACACAGGAAAAAAAAAAAAGGTGCAGATGAGATTAATACAGTGGCATAATGACATTTTCTATTTTTCTCTTTCTCATTTTGTTTTTCCTGAGTGCTACTGAGTTGACATTTTCATAATCTCAAAAGCAATTTCCTGAATTGCAATGGTCAGTTAGCACTCATCATTTAATATGTGAGGTTAGAAATAATTTTTTCATAGGTGCCTCACTTTACAATTAACTACACTGGATTTAATTTAGCAATTTATTATGCAGTTACTCAACCTCAAAAGGTCCTTGTGTAGTACTTTTTTTTTGCTATTATCAGCACACTTAGCTTACTGTTCCTGCCCTTTTCTGATAATTTATATATGTGCATGCTTTATTTATATATAATACATACTAAAATATGAAATGTAATAATACTATAAACTTAGAATGTATATAAATACAGTATATATTTAATACACATAAATATATCTCTAATATATTAGAGTACTGCTGGTTAATCAGCATTTATCCATTGCAAGAGTGGACTATTTACCTCTATCCTGTTTTCTATATTATGCCCATCTCCTTCCCCCATGCACATACTTGTTGCTTAGATTTTAACTGTTTAATGTCCCTAATGGGCCTTAGTAAAACACTTCTTAAAAAGCCTTTTGAAAATCAGGAAAACATGAGAGCTGTGTTAGTCTTATCCACCAAAGAAACTGGATTTCAGGCAGTTCTGGTGATCCACCACCTACAGAAACTGTGATGTCCTCTCTTGCTTTGTAGCCTGCTCATGCATTAAATCTTTAATTATTTACTCACACCTACTCCTAATGCTATTGGGCACTACAAGAAATTAAACTACCCAAGGATAGGTGACCTCTGCATATTGTGATGATCTCATCGAATTCTTATCTGAAACCAAGGATGCAAAATTGATAGCTGACAAAAGAAAAGAAGCTATTATGGGCACAGTACCTTGCAGGGGCCATTCTTCTAAGCCAAGAACCATCTAAGGCCATTTTACAATGCTATAGTGGTCAAAGCATAATCCAAATATTTTCATATTAATAGCACTGGCAGATTATAGTCTAGGCAGGGAGAATAGATGAGAAGCAATTTCATACCAGTGCAAAACTGCAAAGCTGAACAAGCACCATTTTAAAATATTTTAACTGACATAAATTGACTTAAATGAGAGCTGTATTTAGCACTGCCAAACAAAAGGGCAAATCTTTATACTTTTAGATAAATATATTTCTAATTCTGTAAGTACTTTTGAAAATATTGTTGTCTGTTTTGTATGTTTCTTTAAGACTACAATTCTCTAGCAATAAATTTCCTGAAAGTAAGAAAGTATTCATAATTATAAAAATGCTTTATAGGCTCTAATTCATACAAAACTGGAGGAAGAGAATATCCAATACACTTCTGTTTGAGACTCTGAACTATTCCATTAACACACATTGCTATTTCGAACTTCTCACAAAACATGTTATTATTCTCATTTCCTCAGCATTGCCAGTTTAGCTGCTTACTGAAAGTCTTGGGGCAGAGACAGCATCTACTCATACCCTTGCATATGTCTCAGCTGAAATCTTAGTCATCTGGCTTATTCTGCACTAGAATTGTCACACATAAAAACCAGCTAAAGCTGTACCACGATTCTGAGGAGCGCTCTTGTCAAGAAACTTTAAAGAAGTGCAAAAAATTTCATCCTAAAATAAGCTCTCTGTAGTCAGTCAATACTTTACACACTACCAGCTAATGGCTGAAAAAATTCTTATGCATAAGGGATGGTAAGAGTGTACTAAAAACACTGTGTGCTATAGATCAGCACACAATGCCATCTATACAGATAATTTTGCTTATTTATCTCACCTCTACAATACCTATGAAAACTGATTATTCAGACTGATTTGTCAGTGATCTTTCTATTCTTTTGATTTCATTGGACTTCTTTTTTGTTGCCATCTACAGATTTCACATTGCCAATTATTTTATGCCTGTGCCATATTTCTCAGTGGTGTACATTAAGCATGAAAAACAAAGAACTAATCCCCAGAAACTGGAGCACCTCAAGATGTGCAGTACTCACATAAGCTTAAACATCAAGAAACCTTGTACCATGAGCACATGAAGCTGTATTTTTGCAGCCTTACCAGTGCCCACTGACAGCACTATGATTTCTTCTGCTGGTAAATGGGCACACAGATCAGCACATGCCTCCTATTTTTGTTTTTCTCAATCTTCTCTCCAAACTGAGAGCACATGGGACTATAGGAAAATCCTGAAATCTCCTGTCACAGGATGGGAGATTTAGGATGGCTGCAGCATTAATCTATTGATAGCTTATGGTACAAAAAACAGTAGAGTTGGTAGGAAGCAGAGGCATGTGAAGACTACACATCATAAGACTATTCTGATTACAGTTACATTTTCTCATTGACCATCAATAAGCCTTTTCAATTCCTCTGTGTTTCTAAGGGGTGCCACATGAATTCACAATTTCCTGAAGAGGGGAAGAGCCTTGGAGAGGGGTCTCATGCTGCCATGTCCAACAGATCCTGGAAACACAAATCCCTTGCACAGAGGCAGACCAAAACCACGACTACACCCCCTGCCTTCACCCTCCAAAGATCACCAGCTTCCTCCTGCTGCTGAATTATAAAGACAGCTTTTGATGAGTGCTACAGTCTGATCCTCAGCTCAAACAGAATCTACAAGGATTTTCACAGAGCCATGGCAAGGGCCCAAGCTTCTCACAACATATCTAGTCACTTCTGCAGCCTCTTGGTCTGGAGTCTAAGGTCTTCTCTCAGATATTACTGGGGAACATTGATAGGTGACTCAGATTACCAGCGAGACTACATCCCTGCATAAACTTCCATTTACATGTTGCCACTGGGACATAATCCCCAAGAAAATAAGTAAGAACAGTTTCCAGGACTTTCCAGCTTCTCTGTACTACTACTGAAATAACCAGGTTTCTGAAATATCAGGTTGTTTTTTTAAACAGGCTTTCAAACCTTCAATATGTGCAACAGGTTGATGATAGTTGTCAATATAATGCCCTCATTTTTCCAGAAAGGCTTTTATTCTGTGAAATTCTGTTTCAATTTTGCTGAGACTTAAGCTCAGCTACAGAAATTTAGGTTGCTTCATGAAGTAGTATTTTCATACTGAAGTACTACATTACCAGGTGCATACTGTAGTTTATTATGAGCAGCTGTGGGATGACAGAGGAAAGGGCAGCTCTGCTGGGTCATCTAAAGGAAGAGCTGCCTATCCCCTGCACACAGTTTCTGTGTCCTTTTCTTTCCTCTGAGGATGCCAAATGGGGCAAATTCTCCCACTCCCATAGGAGAAAGAAATCAGGCAATCCCCTTTGCCTGCTGAACCATAAACCTATTAGCTGAACCAGGATGATTGTCTGCCCTCTTAAAGATGCTTCTTCTGCCATCAGCCAGTTCTGCCAATAAAGTGTACAATTAAGCTCAAATCCTGCTCTTAAAACATAACAAAGAAGTTGACGTTTTGCATGTATAAGTTCTTAATTTCCTTTAAAAAATCAGGCCAGAAAATTAAAACCAAAACACCCAAACATAAACAATCCACATTTCTGGGACTGCATGAGTGAACATAAGAAAACAAGGGCATTGCAAATTTATAGCTGTCTGTACAGCTTTCAGTCTTTCTGGCTCATGTGTTCTTTTGCAGTCATTAAATATGTAATCAAAACTTTTATCTCCCCCATCTTTTGACTTATTTAGGGTACAGAATAAACATCTGAAGGAATAAAATTAGGTCTGCTCAAACAACTGTAAATTTAACATTGTTTATTTTTAAATGTCAAATTAAACATTTAAATGCAATTTTTCAGAAGGCAACAATAGCTGCTATGTCCTACCTTTTTTCTTAAGCATACTCATATTTTTTTCTTTTCCTTTTTTTAAAACTGTTGCTGCCCAAATAAAATTACCACTTGTGTGACTGACTTATTTAAAAAGACTGGAAACTATACAATGATACGATGTAATCCTATGAATAAATACATGAATTCTCATCTTAAAACTGCTTAAGTTATAGTTACAATTATTTCTACTGGGAAGGTATTTCAGAAACTCACTTCTCTGATAGCTATGCAAAACCATTTCCAATCCCCAACCTACATTTATCCACAGCGAGCTTAAAAACTTGCCTGTGTTACAACTGTGTTCTTCTATATCTTAAAATAACTATTTCTCTTCAGTGTTTACCCCTTGAGATGGCAATAAATTTGTTCCTTTCTTTGATATTATTTGTCTAGCCTGAGCTGGCCAATCTCTCATATTTCCCCACTGTAAGATAAAAGCTCTGTCACTCTATTCATTCTGTTGGTTTGTCTCTGCATTTGTTCTGCTTGAAATTCAGATTTATACAGAGTATTCAGGGTGACAAATTACACATGTCTTCTAAGGCAGTCTTAATATTATCTAATCTCTGCTGAAAATTCTTCATCTGATACAGACCAGGACATTTTTCAACTCCCACTTTAGACAAAGAGCTCCTGACTTTTACTGGCAAACTTCTTATTTCTGATAGTCCAGTTCTCAAGATGTCTCTGATTGCTATTCTGAGACTCTTCCATTTTAATTATGTTTTGCAACTATACAGCCACCCTAAGCATACTCAGTACACTTCAAGCATCAAGGTCACTATAAAATATTCCTGGTGCAAAAGACTGACCTTGAGAAACTTCCAGCCCAACAATGAAGTCTGATGCTGCCTCCTCACTAGTCAGGCCTTCAGCCTTCTCACAGTCAGCACAGTACTCTTCATCCTCTATTGTTTAATTGTACTTAGAATGCACTATTACTAACACCAGTAAAAAGTCTATTTACAATTTTTTTCCTCTGCTTAACTGTAAGAACAGTATATATTAAAGTATAAACTTCCCTATATATCTGTGAGGACAAGAGTGCACACAAATCCCTTCCTCACCATACCCATATAACCCATCTTAGCTGACTGATCCAAAACTGAGGACAAACATGCATGAAGGAACCATAAAGTCTGGGTTTATATTTACTCACCATGATGTAAAGCAGAAGTAAATAGACAGATATTAAAAATTCATACTGGTATAAAACCAGTGCATGTTAGACAAGGCCTATAACAAACCCTAACGATAATTACAACAGTTGCTGTATTTCAACTATTGAAATAATCAGAATAGAATAATAAATAGAATAACAATAGGTCTTACTTGTCCTGTCATAAGACTCATGACACGTATGTGCAATTTCAGCTCCGAGCTGCAAATAATGTCCAGCTTTATCATCTCTGGAACCATCTGCTCCAAGGGCAAACATTCCACCTGCAAAACAGGTCAAATGGCCCATCTTTCTTTCAAGATGCCCGTTCTTCCACTCCCCAATGAAGGTCAGTCCTCCATTGGACTTTCTGATGAGATGTTTTTCTATGGCCTACAAAGAGATTAAGAGAACTTTCAAATACTGTTTCACATGCAAGTTTTACTTATTGACATTCCTTTATTGAGCAAAGTCTGGCTTTCAAAACAAAAATAAACTACAGGGACAGACAGCTATAGGAATATAATTTCAAAGCACAAAAAATTACCCTAACTGCTAAAAATGCTAATGAAATCTAACAGGAAAATCACAACATAGGCAACACTGTATTTTTACTTGAGGATTTAATATTTATTATATGGCTCAAGCAGTATTTGTCTGTTAACTCCGGGAAGTACTTACTTGTTCTGTGCACTCTGCGAGTACTCAGAAAACACATGCATGCTGGAAACTTTTGGTGAGCAACATATGCAAACCTGTACCCTCAGTCAGTCTTTAATAGGAAGTGACAGGAATGCTCCAGCTACCTTCTAGCTGCTCCATAGCAGCTGTCTGAGTGCACATTCTCAAATTATGGCTGTTAGAGTATGGCTGTTAGAGTAGTTGCTCACAAAAAACTTTATTATTTTATACGTGAGGCAACTGCTGCTTTCTTTCTGCACATTTGTACTAATACATGTTGTTGCTTGTGACTTATAAATGGTATCCTCTTAGAAGAATAGCTGATCTAACTTCCCAAAGTTTGCAAACTAGATGGAACAATATTTGCTTAAGCCTCTTATAGAAAGGATCACAATTTCCACCAACATACTGCAGTATTTACTATGTCTAGCATTAGACAGTGAGAAAGTAATGGAAGAGAAGTGCTGGTCTGCACTCCTGTTGGGAGTGAATTAGTGAATTCCTTCACTAATAGCACTGATAGACCTGAGGTTTGTGCTCATGGCAGGATCCAGAGAGAAGGCAGAAATAACTGACAGAGCAGAAACCAGTAAGTGTCTGACAGCTGCCAGGGTGGTTGTCTAATCATCATGCAAACTGGCATTGATGACTGCCTTCTGCTGCTAAGGAGCCTGATGTGGTTTAACTGTACAAGCCTCATTTGGTCTGAAAGTACTGGTACAAGAAATACTGGATCTGCTGAAAACTACCACTGGAAAGGATATCAAGATCTGGAGCATTAATGCTGTTGATCCCATTATTCTAGACTGTGACAAAACTGATATTTTTCAACCATATGGTACATAAAAGTGAAGCCCTCTTTGAAGGAAAGCCACTTTAACAGTGAAGAGCAGGAAGGCACTAAAGCATATGGATTATTTATTCTTAGAGGAAAGCATTTCTTTCCAAATGCTGTGTGACATTTCCATTTTAATTGTATCTTCCCATAATATCATAACTGTTGAGGAGCAAATAGCTGCAGAAGCATTTCCAGTGGGACAAAATTGCTGTGGTTAGCATCAGGATAACCAACACAAACCAAATTTATATACTTCTGCATGAGCTACTCCTCTGCACTGAATTTGCTTTTATGGTTTGACTGAAGAGCATGCTCTAGATATAACATGCTCCTCTTCTGAACTTGAACATAACTGCTTGATAGAAGGGGTAGTTTTTGAAATCTGAAAATCAAGTTCTATCAGCTACTTAATAACTAGGTTAGGTTTTGAGAGTCACAAAGGAAGCATCTCAAGAATATAAATGCAACTCACTGCCTGCCAACTGCAGAAGAATGACGATTGCTATTTACAATAATTAACGAGGGACAGCTGGGTATTGTTGGGAGCACTGCCCAGGAGATAAGAAAAGTTTGTGCAGGTTGGGATAGATGTGGCATTTGTAACCTGGGCTGGATGGATGAGGCCACAGAGCACTCCAACAGGAACTGCAAAGCAATGACATCCAGCTGGACTACAAGGAGTATACACATACCAGAGTGGATGTGTATACCCCAACTCCCAAAGAGAAGATTGAGTTCATATTGACAAAGAGATTAACTAATGAAGGAGCTTCCTTAGTCTGTGAAATGCCTGAACAACAGGGGTGGTTGAGATCACTTGGTTTGTTCAGCCTAGAGAAGAGACTGAGGGGAGACTTCATTGCAGCCTTCAATATCCTCACGGGGGGCAGTGGAAAGAAAGGCACTGATTGCTTCACTCCTGAGACCAGTGACAGGAGCCATGGGAATGCCCTGAAGCTGAGTCAGGGGAGGTTTAAGTTGGATAACAGTAAAAGATTCTTCACCCAGAGGGTGGTTGGGCACTGGAACAGGCTCCCCAGGGCAGTGGTCACAGCACCAAGCCTGACAGAGTTCAGGAAGTGTTTGGACAATGCTCTCAGGCACATGGTGTGACTCTAGTGGTGTCCTGTGCAGGGCCAGGAGCTGGATTCAATGATTCCTGAGGGTCCCTTGCTATTTAAGATGCTTTGTGGTTCTATGCAAAACATGAATGTTCTCTGAAGTTTATGTGCTTTTCATGACTACAAAAAAATAGCATTTTCTGAGCTGTCTTGCAGCAGTACTTGCTATTTTGTGACAGTTAAGCACCCTGCTGAATCCTTCTTTTAGCTACCTAATGCTGTGCAATAAGAAGGAGTGAGGATCAAATTTATGAGCCTAACAGATTAGGCTACTCAAGGCAGCAGATCAAAAAGAAGCTTACCTATCCTCCAGCTGATGTGAGAAGGAAAAAAACACACTTGAAACCAGACTAGCTGGAAGGCTCATAGGATGATGTTGAAGGCAAAGTTAAGAGGTCCATCTTCAATTTTTATCACCACAAGAAATTCCCAATTGGTTTCACAATTTCAGCTTTTATCACAGCTGTGAACTTCCACACTAGGATATGGAAATGAAGTGTCCTTTACAGTGGAAGACAGCACCCATGTTATATACAGAGGGGTTATGGATACACAACTTGCTTGTACTCATATTAGGAAGTATGTGTTGATCTGGCTAAGACTTCATGTGCCATGGATTGGAAACCATGACATCTGAAGAACAGATGCTGCATTTTTCTTCTCTGTGAGCTCCAAGGAATGATATCACTGTCTACTGCAAGACTTAGGACTGAGGTTCTGTTCTCCATCTTCCACTCACACTGCTGTAATAAGATAAGGGAGCAAAGTGTGGCTGGACATTGACATTCTTTTAGACTGGTGGGTGCTGAGAACATTTCCAACTCTGTGCTGTGAGTGGGAGGAATGCATGTTACACCTTTCCCCTTCTGCTTGCACAAATGATGCAAAGAGCTTCTGCTCCACATTTTGAAAAACAAAGAATAAGATGTGTTAGCTACAGAGGATGACCTGTATTGTAGGTAATAACAAAAGAATGGTAAGGGAATGGCCTCTTAAAAAATTTAAATAAAAATTCGAATTGCAGCTATACAAAGCAAATCCTACTTAATGACTCTTTGCCTATGTATTTCAATGTCCAGTAGAACCTGAGAGACAACAAACCCTGAAACACAGTATGTTTCACAGCACATAAAACAGTACAGTTCATGCAGACTCAAATGTATGAGGCAGGTTTAGCTGAGAAAAAGTGGAAGGAGCCCTCTGATACTTGGACTGCAGGACATATCACACATAAAAAAGGAGCAGCTTGGCTTTTCCTCCCTCCCATCCACAAAAGTGTTTTCACCTGGTCCCAAATTTGCCTTGCTCTGTCTCCATTCAGAGATGTGCCCGTATAAAATGTTTGCAAAATAGTTTACAGTGAAGAGGAAGAATAGGAGACTTTATTTCCTCTAATTTTGAAGTGTCCACACTTTAAGAATCAGAGTAAAATATTTCAACAGTAACCACAATGGAAGCTAGATATCAACTGCTAAACATCTTTAAACCCACAGGACCCCATAAACTGTATTTTAACCTATTAAAAATACCGAAGTAATATTTTGAACTAGTAATGTAGTATTTAACAAACCCTGGAAAGCTAAGGAAATTCAAAAGGACTGCAAAACAGCCAATGCTTTATCAATAGTTTAAAAAGTTAATAAAACAATTACATAAATTGAATTATGTGGTTTAAAAAATAAATGATTGGTATGTGTATGCTGATATTAGAAATATTAGGGATTTCAAGAATTTCTTGGCATTTTACAAAATATTAGTCCTAAACAAATCCAAGGCAGCACATATGAAGTGGATTAAAAGCTGGCTTGCTAGAAGCATTCAAAATAAAAGAAAAAAAAAATCCTTATCCCAGGAAGATTCTGCATAGATATTTTATTCAATACTGGGCAGTACTTCTAACAATGATCTCCAAGAAAAATGCTAGAAAAAAAGAATTGCAGATGACACAAAAATTGATGGAGCTATAGATAATGATAAAGAAAAAGTCAGTTCTGTACAATCACAGAGAGCAGGTGACAAAACGGGTTTTGCCTGAACAATGTGTTGCAATAGAGATAAGTGTAAGGTCAAACACTGAGGAATCGGGAATGTAAATCACAGTGGTAGGAAAGCAGTAAATCGAAAAGATTATAGCCAGCTTCAGAATAAAGCAACTGGAAAGTGGATGATGGTTTGAGGCAAAGGTTAAGAGTACAAGCAGAGCTTCTGGCAGGATGAAGAGGATAAAACCAAGAAGGAATCAGTTAGAAGAAGAATCACATTAGAAGAACCATTACATTGCTGTCTCCATACTGAAAATACTGGAAAATACATAGAAAAAAAAAAAAAAAAAAAAAAAAAATCTTTTTTTTTTTTTGAGAAAAAAAAAAAAAAAAAAAAAAAAAAGGCATTTTTGCTTCAGGAGAGAATGTCTATTGTAACTTTTATAGTAACCAACTATATGGTGCAGATAGAGAAGAGAGGAGAGATGTAGATGAAGGAAAAATGCAGAGAAGGAAAAAGTCAAAGCAGCTGAAAGTCAAATGTAATCAAATTCAGGTCAGGAATAAGACATATTACAGCTTCAAAGCAATTTTGTACTAGAACGTTCACTATATATCTTATAAAATGTGAATTTTGAGAATTCCAAGAACAGGTGTTTTGCTTTAGAAGACCAACCACACTTAAAACTAAGCTGTAAAAACTTACATTGAAAGCAACAGGGCATGCACAGAGCCTGGAACACATCAGGCACCAACCACACATCAGGACTGGCACAAGGCTACACAGTCACTGCTGCTGCTGGTACCACAGCTCACTCAAACCAGCTCAACTACTCTTTATGTGTCTGAACTGTAGCAGAGGAATTGGTGGCACAGTGGGAACCATTATGAGAGGCTGCTGAAAGAAGATGGGGAAGCTGGGAAAGTAAGAGCTGGGCAGCAAAAAGCTCAGAGCCACCACAGAAAGGCCCCCATCCCAAATCCCAGGGAACCATCCTGCATTACTGCTCTGCTTAGGCAAGCACTTCTTAGTCTGTGACATGTAGTAAGACCATAGCACAAAAGAACCATAGAAACAAGAATAGATATGAACTACATTTTACAAGGTAAATATGGAATATAACATGTAGATACCTTAGAAAATAATCCAAGTAATAAAACCATTTGGGACTTAGGTCCTAGAAGGATGAAGTCTCAACACTGGAAAAAAGAGACTTGGTTGTTCTGCACACATCTCAAGGCTGCTAGATCTCCTTCTAATAAATTAGAACTTGGGCTTTTAGATTGTACCATTTGGGACAAGCTGATTATTTTTAGCACAATAATCTGCATCACATGTATTCCACAATAATACTTTTTAAACTCCTCAAAGTGGAAGCTAGTATTATTCATCACTTGATTTCTTAAAACTTACATAATCAAAACAAGCCCTGTGGATGGTGGTGTTTTTTCTGCCTAGGTTTCTTTTTTTAATTTAATTTGATTTCCTTAAAATCATTAAATATGGTTCCACTGTATTGGAAAACTCAATGAATTATAATCACCTCAATTGCATCGTCGTACATTTTCCTTGCCTCCGTGTCCATCTTGTCTGACATAAGCCAGGCTTTCAATAAATATTCATAAAAACTGTCTCCCAGCCCGCCCACGGATGTGTGATCTGTAGAAGGGAAAGAGGGAAGAAAACAAACAAAAAAAAAAAGGTTGAAGTTGTTATGCAATAGCACCTTAGATTTATTCAAATCATAAACGTATGTTTTTAAGGCCTACTGCTGTAGAATTATAAACATTTTTAGCCTGTTTAGCAGGAGAAAGCTGCACTGCACTCTTTCGCCTCCAAACTTACATCCCAGGCACAGAACCTTCTGTATGTGTTCCCTATTGGTCATTCTGCGCAGGCTATCCCTCATACCAAAAATGTACTTTGACCTTTTACTTCATTCCAAAGAACCTAATAGTTTTGCTGCTAGGGTTTGGGGGTTTTAGTTTTTGGATTTTTAAGGGGTATGTGAAAAAAGCATGCAGAAAACCTCCTAAGACCTCTGTATCCAGGATGTAACTAGGTCATGTGGCTGGCTACAAGCTGCCATCCATGAACTACATAGGATCCAATCCTTCCAGTAGATTTTTATTTCTTACAGGGTAATTACTCAGCAGACTAATTAATTTCCTCAATTAAATGTTCTTATTGAAATTACTTTAGTCAAAAGGGAAGCAAGCTGCCTTTGCAGTGTACTATACAAGCCCTGCTCTGTTCCACTGTGCCTGAGCAGCTATGCAGAGCTGTGCCATGTGCCACAGGGTAAAACTGCTTGACTATTAGAATCCACCAGCACATAAACTGAACCTCCTAACACACAGATTTCTTTTTTGTTCCCCCCCCCCTCCCTTTTTTTTCCCCTTGCAGAGATTGCCTTTCACAAATAGTGTCACTGCTATTCTGTGCTGACAGGCCACTTGAGAACTATCTATGTTTCTCTTTGGCTGAACTATCACAGTTGCCCACAAAAAGCCCACTGAAGGTCTGGCAGCCTTGCAGCTCCAGTTCCAACCAGGGTATGCACTCAGTACACCCTTCATTCAAAAAGCAGCACACTGTGAGTTTTAATAAGTGACTCCAACCAGCATACAGATAACCTTCTCTTTGCTAATGTTACAGCTCTCAAAGCAGTAGCACCAGAACAGTCTTAGACTCCTGAAGCTAAGCAAGGGAAATGTTTAACACCAACATTGTCACAATGCCAGAAATTCACTGCCCTAAGCATGGCTGGTTGAGTCATGCAAGCACCCTTTCACTGGGTGAAGAAAAGATGACACTTCCTTTTACAGAATACCTCAAAAAGCGGTATTATTCACAGTTTTTCTGGGATAAAAGTGCAAAAGAGAGGTTGAGCTCTCCTTCTGTTCTTTTTTCCTCCAAGCACCACCCTACTACAGTATGTCTGCTTGTCTCTGTAGATGTGAGTAGGAGGTTAGAGCTGGTAGATGCTGCTATTCTAACTCTTCTAGCTGCCTCTTGGCTCCTCTGCTACATAAAAATGGATTTTTAAACAAAGGAAAGAGCAAGTAGAGAGCCTGTAGCTTTCCCATTTAGTTTCAAGGTGTGAATTTGAAGCAAATTATTTCATGCCCTTATCTTATACCTCAGAATCTCCTTGACTGTCTTTTCACACCCAGTTACTCAATGATTATGAGTTTTCATAAGATTTCTCACCCTGAGCTATAAGAGGACATTCAGGTCATGAGTCACTTTCTTATACAAACACAAGGGCTGGAAATTATTCCTTCGATTTACAATTACATTCTTAAGTAGAAACAAGGGTATGTGGTTTTCAGGAAAAAAATGTTAAAAACCACAAACTATTCCAAGACTTCAAAGCTACAACTCATGCAAGCACTGCTCAGGGACTGACTTGACAAGAGACAGTTTAAAACTACTTCTGCTAAGCTGCTGCCTTGTCCCCAGCTGAGCTCTGTCATTTCAGTAAGGGATGATCCTCAACCAGATTTCCTTGACAGATGCACTCAGGTCCCAACAAGGACAAGCTGTTGAACTCTCAGCAGCATTCTTATAGTAGCTCCAGCTGGGACTGGGACAGGAAAGAGCAGGAAGATGAGCAGAAAAGGATCATTTCCTGAACAGAGAAACCCACATTCCAGGTGTCTTTCAAAAGTCAATTATCAGCAACACATCCCATTTCATGACTTCTTCAGGTAGTCATTTGAGAACTGTCCTTCTCTTCTTGTCAGCAGCCCTTCTCCTTCACATTGCTTCTCAGCCAAGAGTATAGGGAACACAGACACCAGAAGCACTGGGGGACACAGAGTTCATCCCCTAGACAGCCTTTTCTGCACCTTCTTCGTGCAGAGAGCAGGGCTGCTCAAGCCTCTCCTATTCAGATCCTCCTCCCATTCAGAAGCAGACAAGCACATGGTAAGAAACTAAGGCCTTTCAAGGGCCTTCCAATTCCCAGCAGCAGCATTCTCCTTGCTCCTTTTATGCATACCTCACTCCAGCTCTGACCAGCCTAGAGTTTTCAAGGCTCCTTTCTCATTCAGCAGTGGGCTACTCCACTCCCCAGCTGATGGCTTTCACAGCTGGACCAGAGGGAAGACCTGTCAAAAAAGGCAAACGGATCCTGTTCCTTCTCCTCAGCAGCAGGAGAAGGACATATGAAATATTTCTGGTGGGAACATACGATGGTATTTCAGGGGAGCTGGCCACATCAAGATGCAGATGTCTTTATGTCTTGTCCCCTCCCCATCCACAAAAATAGCCAAAAGGAGATGGAAGTGAAAAGGAGGCCAATGCAGCAGCTGAACTGAGGTTTAAACAATGAGTTTTCCAGCTTCTGCAGCTGCATTAACTGCATTTAACCTGGCAAGGTCTTCTTCAGCTTCTTCAGCTTTTCTGCTAGCGTCTGCTAAAGCAGAATTTGCTGCATTTTATAAGAACTATAAGTAGAAATTCTTAAAACGCAGTTTGTGACAAATTGTGGGTCTTGGACAATTTGCTCTTACCTAGAGCAGAAATGCTAAAGAAATATTTTCCAAGATTCCTTAGCAAATATATAATGGGTGAAGACTGTAGAAATTGGGTCTCCGCATATCATTCTCTCCTAAAAGCAAACCTCCCCATCCAAACTTATCAGAAGGCCCATGGTGGTTATCACTTTCTCCTCTCTTTGAGCTATAGCTCAGATGGATTCAAAGATTTCAGTCAGCTCAACTCAGAATGTTTTGCTCAGAAAAATGTTTTCCACATAAACTGACGTTTTCACACTGGCCCTAACCTTCCATATCAATCCAGAGTACTAAAAAGGAGTAACTTGTGATTTGAATAACTAAGCTTAAAATAGCATTTTGACACTGGGTACTCCTCAGTAAACAACTGAGAAGATAAGCAGTAAGTACAAGCATTTTGAAAATTAGTAGATTAGCTCTTTCACATATTTGATCTACAAGAATAATTCAATTAGCTCTTTGTCATGTAAAGTTTTTTTTTATTTTTGAAGAGCTGTTTTACAGTGAAATCCTTAAGTAGAATTCATTCCAGATTAAGACAAATATAGGAAAAAGAACAGAAGTATGATAGCACAACAAATGTGGCTGAAGCCACATGTTCTGTTCAATGTATACATTTTTTAGAACATTCATTCCTTCAAATCAAGAGAAATTTGGGTAATTTCTTCATTCTGCATTTTTTCAAATGTAGGCACAGATGACTGGGGAAACATAAAAGGATTCCAGTCAAGGATTACTTTGGAATTATTTTCAAACTGAAAGACACAGTAACTGCAGTTGGAAAGAATACCTTCAACGTTTGCAACCAAAAGCAATTACAAGAAACCCTGTACTTTTTCTGGTTTGTCACACTTGAAAGCATATTGTGTGCAAACCTGTGCAGTTAGTAAGGATTCTTCTTCCCAAAAAGGGACAAATAAAACCTTCATAGAAAGACAGTGATATTTCAAGTTCATAGCAACATTTTTGCTCACTACATTTACATCCTGTTAAATATTGGCATTTTTCTTCTTAATCATCAGCACTCAACTGAACAAAACCCCCTCAATGAACAACACACCAATCAATCTCAGCACTCTAATGAGTTTTTAATGTATTGATAAAAGACCTATACTCAGTAACATACTGTGTCTCAGCTAATATGCTGAAAACCAGATCTACCTCTTTCTCGCAGACTGAGAGGGGGACCTTCTTTTAAAACCTCATACCACCATTATTAATATTCTTAAAGATAGTTTCATTCCAAATGATCTTATTGGTATCAGCTACCCATGAGCTCACTTCTGACACAGTCTCCCAGACAAGAAGCAGGTCGGCACTAAGCCCCAGCACCAGGCAGGAGGTCAGACAGTGTCACACATCTCACTGAAATGCCACTGGACCTCAGCCCCAGAGAGAAGGGAGGGTCTGCAGAGCTCTGGTGATTTGTTCTCTGTAAGCGAAACTGTTTCTTTACAAATATAGGGAGACAAATAAACAGTTCTTTTACCACAAACAGCTCCTCAAGGCTTGGACAACAAGGTTCCCCCTCCTCAGTGAGGCACTGAGACAGATCTGGCTGTTCTTTCTCTTCAGGACTAATTTTTGGGGACAGTTGTAGATACCAGGGATACAATGCATTCACACAGCTCTTCCTCATTTGTCATTCCCAGACCTACCTAATATCTGTAAATAACTTCCTCCACAGCAAGCCAATTTCCACATGAATGGCAGTGGTTCCCAAGAATACAGTTATGGCCACAGACTGCAAGTTACCAACATGTGCCACTTCCTTTTGTTTACAGGGAAAGTTTGGTTCAGTGAGCATGTTTCCCACAACAACTGACAGCCCCCTAAAGATAACATTAATAATGAAGCCTGTTCTAATGAAGGTCTACCTGCTCTCTAGAGCAAACTTAAGATGTGCAAATTATTTTTAAGCAGATGGCTTTAAGTAGTTAACAGCAGCTTAATGAGGCAAATTAAAAACAGTTCATGATTTGCTAAACCCTCTCTTGCTTTGTGCCTTAATTGTTCAATTGTCATTTCTTGGCAAGGAGCAAGAATAAATAAAGAAGTCAGGCATTGTATTAAGGGCAGAACTGATGCTGCAGTCCCCAACACCTGAGGGTGAGGCTTCCTGCTAGCCAGGAGCAG